CATTTCCAGGAGCCTCACGGGGGCACCGAGTAACTCAGACTCATCCCAGTCAAGTGAGGTAAGAGAATAAATGGGATGCCCAGTGCAGCCTCTGAATTTAGTCTCAGGTGATATGACCAAGACGCAAATACTTCAAGGGCAGTAAAGGGGGAGAGACGATCTCGTCCACTCTGGGAAGACAGCAGAGGTGACGGCAAAGATCTGGCACAACGAGGTCAATCTGGCAAGGTCCCAGCAAGGGGTGGGAATCATGGGAGTCCCATGAGGTCAGGGGACGGCCACATCCAGGGCCAGGAGCCCAAGGAGGCACGCTTGATGCGGAGAGCAACGGACCCAAGAGCCACACTGTGACGCAGCACACGCGTGGAGGTGGCCCGAAAGACCGATCAAGTATAAAAGCAAAATGAGTGGAAGGCCTGGAGAGTCTACTGAGGTGAGATGTGCTTAGGTGTTTTGCTAAGACAGGGAGAGCTGTCAGCACCTTGGAACCCTACGGCTCCAAGAGAGGGTCTGCTGAGTAAAAAGGCCCAGGCCAGGAAGGGGGAGGGCCATGTGGTCCTGGGCGAGTCCCCTTTCTTCTCCATGACACAGGCATTTCTTGACTAAGTGGGTACAGATGCTCCTCCACTTACAATGGGTCCCGTAAACCCATCATCATGTCTGTGTCACTCTGCAAGAAAAAAAGATGCCACAGGTAGTCACAAAACAGCCATGACCTTAACCACTCATGCACACGATGGCTCATGCACACCAGTGTCCATCTGCCTCAAGCCGGTCCAGGCAGTGTCACCTCCCTCTCTGCTGTGACCACACATTTCAAGTGGGCTGTGGTGCTGAGTTCCACCTCTCCACCTCTCCTCCCCCTCCTCCTCGGCTGGTAGTGCACAAGCGTGCTTCCTACGGAAGCTGTTTCAAGCTCAGGAGTGATGGCCGACCCTGGCACTCCAGTCTCCCTAAGGGCCCCAAGTGCCCCTGTCCTGGCCCTTGTTGCACATCAAAGTAACTGTCCTTTCATGTAATGACCCTTCCAGGACCCCAGGATGGAGAGCGCCTGAAGACAAGTATTGGGTGTCACTCACTAGTGAGGCCCCCAAACACCTGACCACAGCCTGGCACAAAGCAGGGGTTTGGTTGACACTGAAGGAAGAAATGAGCAAATGAACAGACCCATGAGCTTGCGCCGTGCCCGGGGCAGTGAACTGTGTTCAGGACGGGACCCTGCAGGGCAGCCCAGCAGAGGCTTCTCTGCTTCCTTGACAAACCTCTGTAGTCGGATGGCATGATCATCACACAGGAAGGGCTGCAACCATCACTCTGCTTGTCTGCAGGGCCAGCCCAGGGTCACGGCCCCCAGGCCCCACCCCCTCCTCAGGTGGGAAATGGGGGCCATCAGCTGGCTCTGTGGGGCTCTGGGGCCTCATGGGGGCCACCTTCAGCCTTACTCTGGTTTGATGGTCTGCAGGCCTGTATGTTCTCTGTCCTTGCCCCAGCACAGACCTCAACCTGCTGAGGGAGCCTCAGAGATGAGCCAAGGAAATTTTAAAAAACAATGGAGGGTGGGGTGCAGGGGACACTCCTGTACTCTGATTCTGATGGGACTAAAAGTTTTCTACTGAGGGGAACTTTCTACCCAGGAGAAAGGTGTTCACACCCATGGTGTTTAAAACGGGCCACAATTTTAGCACCAAATCAAATAATGCCATGTGACTGACCAACTCTGGTGATAGATGACATTGTCATAACCAGCCTCCCCAACAGTCTCCGCAAACGGACCATGGACTCCTCCTCCCCCCGTCCTGAATAGTCTTTGGGAAGTGACCCCAGCAACTAGATGCGGGTCACATGTGAGCTTCATTAATCCAGTTACATCAAGAAAAATGACCAGAAGAAAATGGAAAAAGCTTGGAAAGGGCTGGGACTGTGTTTCTCGCCTGTGAAACCTGGAGCCCTTCGCCAGCTATGTGCATTGCTGTATTTGGGGAGGACAGAGATAAGAAAATGGCTGCAGCAGTGTTGTTGACACGACACTCCTGCTGCATCTGTGCAGGAGGGCTCGGGCAGCAGCATGTGATGTGCGAGTGCTGGCTTACAGCGACTGCAATAAGACTCCATGGCTCATGCCACCATCAGCCAGGTCAGTCTGACAGTGACAGCAGACCCACCAGGTACCAATGCTTGCATGCATCTGACGAGGAGCTGCATTCATCCCGCATCCTGGGCAGGCAGGTGCAACAGGGTCCCTGTGGCATCTGCCTTCCTTGTCACTCTGAACTGCCTGGTCGATGGACTGGACTAGACTGGCAATATAGGAGCTTATTGTTTACATGCACAACAACAATCTTTTCAATAAAGCAGGTCGTTCATGGACCGTGAAAAGCAAACATATGTTAAAATACCCAAAGCACATGAAAATAAAACGAGACACCCTAAGACAAAACCCCACAACACCACCACTGTAAACACCCCGACATTGCTTCTGCAAAGGGAGAGAAGATGGTTGACTTCCTAAGCATTCCCTGTCCTTGCCGATCGGAGGGAAACAGTCGAGTTAGGCAAAACCAAAACAGATTTACACATGCAGGTTGTTCTGCCAACAAGGGACCCAGCTGGATTTCAAGATAGCTACCGCCTGGCTCAGAGGCGAGGTGAGCTGCCCAGCCCAGGCTTCAGGTCTCTGGGGCTTCAGTGTAGATATCACCCTCTTGGGGGGCATGGTGACTCTGCCCTGTGCATGACTACAGACATGCCATCTAATTTTCCTGCTGGCTGCAACAGATCCAAATCTGGCTGCTGATTCTATGAAACCTGCCACACAAAACGCCATTTACACAGCTGAAGAGCTACTAGGGAAGCCAAGCCCCTACCCCCTGCCCCGGCAAAGTAGGTACATACAATGCCACACTGCAAGTACGACCAGGAATGAGGATGGAAACTGCAGCTATGGGACAGATCATTTGACAGAAAAATTAATTTGCTGGCAGACTTCCGACTGCAGGCTTCCTTGGCACTGGATTGCTGCCATGCAAATGAAATAAAAATCAATATCCTTTGGTTTGCAAAACAGTGTGTTAACTATCACACTCCAAACAACTTATAGAATATCCCTCACCCTGTAGCCAAATAACAGTGAATGTTTTTGTTAGAAGGCAGTGCAAAACAAACAGAAAAGAAAAAAAAAAAAGAAAAAGAAAAAGAAAAAAGAAAGAAAAGAAGGCGATTTTACAGGTCCTCCTTCAGCAAAACCTTTCCACGACTTCAACGAGGAGATAATCTTTCTGTGATTATGACCAAACCCTCCGGTTGCTTAGCAACACATAATTAAGGAATATGTTTTCAGATCCGCTTTGCAAGCCCGGCCATTATCAGATGAAATTACTGAAGCAACAAATGTCATCGCCATGCAAATTAGTTGGTTGCAAAGAAAGAATGTTTGACTATGAGAGAGAAGGCACAGGCCTTCAGAAAAATGATCTGACCTCCTTCCTGTCGTGCATTGGTTAAAAAAAGGCAAATAAATTATACGATCAGACTTAAAAAAAAAAAAAAAAAATCCATAGATGAGACAAAACCAGTCTGTGGTAAGAGAAAACAAAAAAAGATCCAGCCAGTTACTCAGCTTCTTTTTGGAAATAAAAAGTAAACTGCGGGCCGGCCCGGTGGCGCACTGCTACAGTGCACCGCCTGGGAAGTGCAGCGGCGCTCCCGCCTAGGGTTTGGATCCCACATACAGACCGGCCGCTCACTGGCTGAGCGAGGTGCGGGCGCAACACCGAGGGCTGCGATCCCGTAGCCGGTCCCGGTCCGGTCCGGCGCGACACTGAGGGTTGCGATCCGTTGCCAGTCACAAAAAAAGAGGCAAAAAGGGAAAAAAAAAAGTAAACTGCCTGGAGGTCAACTCTGAGAATCAACAGCAGACATTACCGTCACCCCAAGCTCCACCCTCACGGGAAATAAACGTACGCTGTTATCTCAGGGGTCACAACATCCTGCTCCCAGTGCCCACCCACTGCTGGATCAGGGGTATCTCATTTTTTCACCCTGAATTCACACCCCTACTCTCAATCTTATAGTTCCAGTTATTCAGAACAAATTCCATTTGAAAAGGACTCAGCTTTCCAAACTATGTTAGAGAGGCAACAGGGAAGGAAGTACAGTATGTTTGGAAGAAGTAAGGTAATTTACATTTTAAATTTTCGATCAAGATGCTAGAGTTAAAATAAAAATTCTAATGTTGTTCCAAGGATGTCCACCTAGAAGCCTGCCCACGATGTCCAAGGAAACCCCTGCCCTAAATTACATGTGGCTTATGTTTTTGAAGAAAATCACCTAGCTCTGTTCTTCCCTACAAGCAAGCAAATTCCCAACTGCATTTTCCAATATGAGAAACTAAATCTGTTTTTGAAGCAGGGAGTTTTAAGGGATTTCAACATTTTGCTTTGTTTAACCCACAAGTATGGAAACACACACATTTTTTTCTCTACAGTAGCTAATCACTGCCTTTGATACCGTGTGCAGACCCTTAAGTGGTACGTTTCCACACTACGCACTGCTAGTGGCAAATGAACGATGCACAACTTACGGGGGGCATTTGATAAAATATCATGGATTCTCCAAAGCTACCCAACGTGACGCCCCCTGCGTGAGCGGAAAGTTTCTGTGTGTCCTGAATGACTTCTGAGTTTCTCCAAGAAACACAGTTGCGTTTCATCACCAGAAAGAGAAATCCACAAGTCAACTCTGAATCAACTAGAGAACGGGAAGGCCACACCGCCCCAGTGGGTCAGCCTGATTCACAAATCTGTTCAACCCAAGAGAACCTGTGTTCACTGGCCACGGTGCTACGGCTGCCTTCTTGGTGGGCGAAGAGTGTGGGTGTGTGTGTGTCTGGTCTCCCAGGCATGGCCAATGAGGACCTATCATCCTGTGACCAAACTTACGCCCCCCTGATCCCCAGTCCCCTCAAGGTCCCCAGCGAGGATAGGTGGGGAGGGGTGCGTTACTTGGTTCTGGCGTGAGCATGGTGGACACGATGATGGGGGCCCCTGTCCGCCGGGCCACCTTCTGGTATGAGTGAGGCATGTGGAGGTTTTGGCTGGCCGGTGGCAGTGTAGATGTCTCCGGGGGGACACTGGGCTTCCGCAGGAGCTGGGGGCTGCCGTGGGGGGTGGGCAGTGGAGAGGCGGCCACGTTGCGCTCCCGCTTCAGCAACTCCATGGGCACTGTGTACGCCGTGGAGTAGGCTGTTCTGGGGCCAGGGTGAAGGGGGCTTGAGAGGCCTGGGTTAGTCAAGGCCACCCCGGCCTGCGGGGAGTACGTAGCGCCCAGTCGTGCTGTTAGGGCGCAAGGGGTGGGAGAGCTGTACCCAGAGTTGGAGAAGTGGGGGGCCTGGGTGCCTGCTCCTGGGGCAGAGTAGGTAGCTGCTGTCTCTAGGAGGTGCTGGGACGGTGCACTGGAGGGGCGGCGAGCCAGGTCTCCAGCTCGAGGGGATGCCATCTGCAGGGGACCTCCAGGCTGGGACTGTAAGGCTGCGGAGCCCAGCGAAGCCAGATCACTGTGGAGCAGCTCACTCCGTTGGCTGAAACTGCTGGAACGCGTCCGGGGCAGTGGACCCACCCGGTCCTGCCTCCGTAGCTGCATCTCGGTCCTGCAGCTGCTGGCCAGGCGGCTCAGGATGCGGGCCTGGCCCAGGTTGGGTGCGACAGACTTGATGTCCGCATCCTCCAGGGTGGCCAGCACAGCTGGCGAGTCAAAGCCTTGCTGCAGTAGGGCTGCCAGCGTGGCCTCCCCCACCCCCTCTGCCCGCAGGAAGGCCAGGAACTCAGGGAGCGCACTCCTCTTGCCACCAGGACCCTGGAAGGTGGACAGGTCAGCTTCATAATTCTCATAAGCCATCTTAGAATGGACGTTTTCCTGGGTAGGCCCATAGCCTCGATTTAGGGCACCTGGGGTCACCCCCATGCTACCCTCGGAGGCAGCAGCTGAGCTGGGATCCACGACCAGGCATGTCGGGGCCACCTGTCTGGCGAGGTTCGAATCGACAGGTCTTTCACTGACATCGTTGTAGACCTGGTTGGAGGGGTAGGCAGGTGCCTCTGCCCCATACCTGGTGTCAGGCAGTTCCCTTCCATACCGCCCGGGAGATGGAGCCCTGCTCTGTGTCTGCTGCCCCTGAGGGATCATTTTACCTCCAGGATCCCGGTGCTGGTGACTGGTGTCCTGCAGGGCAGGTAACCGGCCTTGCATTTGCCCCCATGGCATTCTGCTTCCAAGCACTCCATAGCTGGGCACCGGCTGGCTGATTGCTGGGTCCCGATAGAAGGGAGTCTCTTTGGGCACTCTCATGGCTGCTGATGGGTCGCCGTAGTAATCCTGTGGCAGCAGGGAGCCGCGACCAGACATCACCGCCTGTCTGCTGTCGTAGAAGGTGAAGTCAGGAGTGGAGCCCTTCCTTGCAGCAACTGCGTTATAAAAGGCCTCCCGGTAGAGGTAGGGCTCCGCGTCCTGTGGCCGGTGGCTTGGCTGCTCACACCAAGTCGCCTCTCCCGCGCCATACGTCAGAGAGCTTCTCCTCCCCAGAGGCCGCAGGGCCTCGCTGTTCTCCCAGGGGCCCTCGTACCACCCAGCAGCATCCCAGCTCTGAGAACGACCAATGTTTATATGCCTGCTGGGAACTGGCATTGGGAAAAAAAATGACTGCAGACGAGGCAGAGGAAGGAGTCTTTCTCTATAAATCTTCAACTCTATACACGAAAACCAGACCTGGCTGTAGCTAGCCCTTCCGAGCCAGCAGGAACAGCCAACTGGGGGTTTTCTGTTTCAAAGTATGCCCTAAATTATTAATCCTCCGAAACCTTAGTAGACAAAACACAAGACTCACGGTAACTTTGCCTCACTCTCCAATGGTAGCCCGAGAGGTCTGTTCTTTACGGCTCAGTCCCAGAAAGGAGGCTGTGCTCGAGCCTGCTGGGTCCCCCCTTCCTGGCTGGCGTGCTCACATGGGCCTGGGCGCTCTCAGCGTGTGGATTAGGAGCTAAATAAAACCCCTAAAGCTTTTGTTCCATGTGACATCTCGTTAGACTGATGAAGCCGGCTGCCTGTTCCATCCAGGCCTCCCAACCTGCAGTTGGGAATTATTTCCAGGCTGAAGCTCTGGCTTATCTCCCTCTTACTCAACAGGATACTTTTAGGATGAGTACTACCCACCCGCCCTATGATGGAAGGTGCTCTCCCCACACCCATCTGATTGCTGAAAAGTGACAGAAGCAAAATGAGACTGCTTCAATGTCAGTTCAATCTTAATCCACCTTGATGAAATGTTAATCCATCACACAGCTAAAAACGAATTAAATGTGGATAAACAGAAAAGGTTTCATGTATGGTTCTAGAACGTGAGGTGCCCAAGAAACAGACCAGATCTGAAACTGATGCTTTGACAATATTGAAAACTGGTCTTGGCTGTGAATCAAATGGGTTATGTTGCTTAAGTCCAAATGGATTCTTTACCTTATTATTGCAAAACGCAGATCCTTTCGTACCAGGAAAACAAAAAACCGTGCACGGATCTGAAACTGATGCTTTGACAATATTGAAAACTGGTCTTGGCTGTGAATCAAATGGGTTACGTTGCTTAAGTCCAAATGGATTCTTTACCTTATTATTGCAAAACGCAGATCCTTTCGTACCAGGAAAACAAAAAACCGTGCACGTGTAATCTGGAATTTATCCTTTTAAGACTGCAGCAGAGGTCAAAGGAAGAGAGCAGGATCGGCGGCTAAACCCCAACATTATGAAGCAAAACCAGGAAGCCTCTGGAGCTGATTATCTTGTTGTCCTTTAAATATGTTTGAAAGGGAAGCCTAATTCCAGCAGGCACGGCCTGGTTGAGATCTTGCAGACGACCTTCTGTATTCACATGGATCAAGCTTTCAGGGGAGCTGATTATCTTGTTGTCCTTTAAATATGTTTGAAAGGGAAGCCTAATTCCAGCAGGCATGGCCTGGTTGAGATCTTGCAGACGACCTTCTGTATTCACATGGATCAAGCTTTCAGGGTCTACTAGGGATGTTAGATGCAATGATGCAAAGGACAGCAGTTGTTTCGATAAAGGAATGCCCCAAAGTATTAAAACATTTCTTTAAAGACATAGAACAATCTCCGAGAAGAAACTATCACAGACGAATGTAGCTGGTTCCTCTCCTCCAACTGCAGGACTGCCATGATGTAGCCTCCACAATAAAAATACAAGTTGGTCGGTCATCAGGAAGCTACGAAGGACGTATCCACTGAACACATTTTTACAAGAGATGATACGCGTATGTGCAACCACTAAACGGTTCAACAGTGTTTTGCCTTCACCCATCTCTCTCTCAATTTAAGATTAGACTAGAATCTTCAACTGAAGAGAAATACCAGTCATTAAAAAAAATAAAAATTATTTTTAAATGTGAGAAATACTGAAGATGTACTGTGAGGTAGGAAAGTGGGCATGGATTAATTCCATTTCCGGGAGCTACACGGTGATGCCATCCTGTGTCCCCCCCAACCCCCTACATCCTGAACAACACACATTAATCTTTGGGACAAGTTCTGTTTAAACCAACTGGCCCAAACACTGCCCAGAGACATAGCCCAGGTGACCCCAAAGACCACAACCCACCATTCCAACACCATGGCCCCCATTTTCAGACCCACAAGGACCCGAGTTATCTGCAAAAATTCCCTGGAAGGAGGCAAAGAGACCAAAACCCTCCTCCAACCAATCTCCCCACTTCACGGGATGCATGAAAAGAAAAACCAGTCAGAAAAAGAAAGAAGCCACACTGCAAAACATTAGACTTCCACATAGGAAAGAAGTCTGCTAGTTAGCCAATTTGTGTAATTCTTCCGCTAGTACATTCGCAATCACGGATGGAAGGGCTGGGCAGGAGAGACCGAGGAAACGGGCCTGACCACGTGGATACCAGACAAAATTTACACATCTCACCAACAGCCTGAGGACAGGTTTACTTAGAAGATAGACCAAAAAGTACAGGAGGATGTTACAAAGCCCTAAACTAAATGGAAACAGCACTATCTAGTTACAGCACCAGTACCAACCGGGTGCTGAAGGCAGCCGGGCAGGCCTGATTTCTGCAGGAGTTTTCCTCCTGGCACTATTCGGAGACTGGGCAGAGTTCCTTCCCCTCCAGAAAGGAGAGGGCGTTCTCACAGCTGACCCTTCTAGGGATGAGGATAAGCAGACAGGCCTGCGAGGAAGCGAGCTTGGTATTTCTGGCAGAACACACGAAAGCCCGAGAGAAAACACTAACCAGATGACTCTGGCAGCCCCTGGCCCACATCTGCCTTGTCACCTCCCTCTTCCAGTCTTGGGCCCCTTTAGACATCCGGGCAGGACCCCACCCCATTGCTCCACTCTCGCTGCCTCTCCTGCCACCACCGGCCAGAGAACACGGCTGCCAGACAGCACAGACATGAAACTTCCCTTCCCTTCAGTGCTGACCAGCAAAAGGGCATCTTTGCTATCATGTTTTCTTACAGGAGCCTCATGATAGGGCTTCAAAATAAGATGACATCACACTAACTGTCATTAACATTCGTTCAACGTCTTCTACATAACAGGCCCTGACTAGGTCTTTTATCCAATTGCTTGTTTAACTTAACCTGTAAACAGCCCTACAGGCAGCTAGGATTATGTCACATCACAGATGCTGGGGAGTGGAGGAGTTGGGGACCCTGCCCAAGGTCACAGGACGTGGGCGTAGTAAGGCCGGGCAAAGAACCCAGGTCTGCAGGACTCCAAAACTAATGTTCTTCTTGCCTGAATTTTCTGCTGCTGATCTGGTGCTGGAAAAGGGGAACTTATTTAACAAAATAATTCTGATAGTTTCTGCAAGATTTTCCTAAACTCCAAAATAGCACATGTGGGGCTGGCCCGTGGCTCACTCGGGAGAGTGTGGTGCTGATAATACCAAGGCCACGGGTTTGGATCCCATATAGGAATGGCTGGTTCGCTCACTGGGTGAGCATGGTGCTGACAACACCAAGTCAAGGGTTAAGATCCCCTTACCGGTCATCTTTAAAAAAAAAACAAACCAAAACAAACAAAAAAACACAACAAAAAACAACCCCCCCCCCACACCAAAATAGCACATGTGACTTGAGTATCAGAAACAAACTCTTCCCTGAATACTGGGAAAATAACTCCTAAACAGGCGATTTCTCCACCCCCACGAAGTGTGGCGCACTGTGCTTGTGTCTCGGCCCGGATTCCCCAGCCTTTAACTGACAGATGGCACCTGCCTGATGCTTAGGTGTTAAGTCATCGTGCCATTTCTTTTCCTTCCTGTGCCAAACCTTCTTGTGTTGGGGTAGCTCTGGTGACTCATCAGTTACTGCTATCTAGTTTTCAGCTCGAGATCTCACATCGAAACAGGACTAAATGGAAGAATGTTTACCTAACAGCTCGTGAGAAACCAGTAGTGTTTCTTAGATGGCTTTCTTTTTACTGAAACATAGTTGATTGTACATATCTGTGGGGTACAGAGTTGAATGTCAGTACCTGTGTGCAAAACGAGATGTTCAAGTCAGGATAATTAGTATATTCAACATTATGCAATGTAGTAATTGCTCTTCGTGGCCCTTTATCAATTCCTCCCTTACCCCCACTTCCCATCTCAGTTAACCTCTGCTCTCTTCTCTCCTTTTGAAAGTTCAATGTATTATTGTGATTTTTTATTTTTTAGCTCCCACTCATGAGTGAGGACATGTGGTATTTCTCTTTCCATGCCTGGCTTATTTCATTTAACATAATCAATGGGTTTCTGAGATGGTGTTGAAGGCACGATGGTGGGGGCTGGGCAGCAATGGGCAGGTGGTGTCACCCACCCCACTAGAACCAGGAGGCCTGGGCTCCATTTCTATCAACTTCCAGCCGGCTCTGCTTGGAAGCCACCCAAGCTCATGCAGCCGCAGCTCTGCAACTCGCCAAATATTATGACAGATGTTTTCCTGTGTTAGGTAAAAACACCTGTAACTGGACTCACACTTCTCCAAACACTGGCATTTTTTTCCCCCTTAACACATTGCAGTCATTTAGAAAGGGCTGCTTTTCTGAAAAATCTCATGTTGACTAAAGTGAGATGGGACCAATTTCTGAAGGAGTAATCAGTCTCGCGGACTTAACTTTTTAATCCTACAAAGACCCTCAGTACAAAAATAAAATGACTGCATAAAGTGCTCACTGGCTGAGTGAGGTGCGGGTGCAACACTGAGGGTTGCGATCCTGTTGCCGGTCCCGGTCCGGTATGGGCGCGACACTGAGGGTTGCGATCCATTGCCGGTCACGGAAAAAGACAAAAAGGAAAAAAAAAAAAATTACAAGATCAGGGGGAATCAGTGAATTTTAAGTCTGGACTAACAGGAAGGTCATTTGGCCCAGCTGCCTGTCCCCAACAGCTGTGTGGTTTCTCAGCCACTTGGTGGAACAGATGCTGCCGGTCTGTGTTCAGGCCTCTGGGAGGGAGGACAGTGCGTTCTCAAGAGGCAGCGAGCCCCAACTTTAGAGCATTATGTGGAATAGGCTTCCTCAGGGTGGACCAAAACCGGCCGGGGCTTCCATACCCTGGTCCTCCTCCAACCGCGTGGCCATGAGACTGAGGTGACAGAAATAAGAAAATCCCAGGACGAAGCCACGCAGCGGCCTCCGCGTCCTGCAGCCTACGTCTCCCCAGGAACGCTGCTGAGGTTAGTGGGTTACACATGGGTTTCCGGCAGAGACAGAGCCAAAAATAGACCTATGACAT